TTAACGTTAAACGTTAACGTTAACGTTAACGTTACGTTACGTTACGTTACGTTGTTCGTGTAGTAGTAGTGAGGAGAGAGAGAGAGAGAGAGAGAGAGAGAGAGAGAGAGAGAGGGAGAAAAGTTTCAATCCTGTTATTTGAATGCGCCCATGAATGCAGAGGGAGAGTTTTGAATGTATTGTGGTTTTGTATTGATGGTGGGGGGTGGATTCCTTATTTTAGTAGTGGGTCGGGTCCGATGACAGTATGGACTCACCTGGTTAGCAGATCTGATTGTCGATGTGCAGCCCTCTCTGCCTTCTGCACATGGATTGGACTGCTCTCATAGTACAAAAAGGTTATGTTATAGCATGTAAAATTTATTCAAAATAAGTGATATTAGTTATTCAATACCATTGCTCATATTTATTCAATCTGTGTTTTTTTTATTTAGAAATCTACAAGACAAAATCGTGGCATCTATTAACTTTATTTTAGCCTAGAGTTTACCCTATCAAGTATTTAATATAAGATAATACAATAAAATTCATATTATATTTAAACTTGCACCCAATATTAAATAGTTGAAATATGATATGTATTTTGTTGAATTTAGGTTTATTAAATATTTGGCAGGGTAAACACTAGGTTAAAATAAAGTTAATAGAGGCCACAATAAAATAAGGACCTAGTTTCTATACGGCCAAGCCCGCATTGGTAGAAAAGCCGGATGAATTTTAAAACTTAATTTTTAAGGATATGGAATGGAATGGAATGGAGATAAACGAATATAAAAAAATAAATAAATTTTAAAAATTAAAAATTGTAATTCTAATAGACGGCCAAGGCCGCATGAAACAAATTTCAGGTTTCTTGCAGTGGGGTGGAGAAATGATGAAATTGAATAAGTTGTGGTACTCACGAGAGCATAGATTCCTTGGGGGTATTGGGAACCGCCAACAAATGAAATGAAGATGGGTGAAAAGAATTTAAGTGAAGTAATTTAATTAGTGGAATAGAGAGAGAGAGAGGATGGGCCTAACGCCGTGGCATGAACATTTGCCAGCTGCCATCATTTAGTTGAGTACGTTACGTCCATTCACGATTTATGGATTTAAGGTGTGTCGTCTTCCTCCAATGAAAGCTCGCATGTTAGGGTGTGATCCGAATTTGGGCTGGCGATGGGGAGGTGGCTCGGCCTCGCTGGGTGGGCTTGGCTCTAAATAAGTAGGGCTTGGGCCATAAAAAGTAGCCCAAAGACCGGGGCTGTGCCTAGCTAGGGCCAGGATGGGCTTGGTCTAGCCTATCTACGCGCTTTTTTTCTTGACTTTTTTTTTTTATTTCCACCTCATCTGTTTTGGTCCAGTCTTGCCTTGGGCACCTTTGGCCCAGTCAGTGCCGGCTTGGGCTGAAGCTGTCTTGTAAAGGCAAGCACTTGGTTAGAGCGGGGTAAGCCCAACGGCTTAATCTGAATCAGATTGTTCTTGTGATACGTGGATGAACCATTGCTAGCTTTTTAATTTTTTGACATGTATGATGAGCCTTGCTCCTTGAGAACCCAATCAGCTTGGCTCATTGAACAATGTGAATGGTCATGCGGGTTTGACTCTCTTGGACTCGTATGCTCATCTTGAAATCGCCACCATTGGTTCGATGAGAAGCATTGGCAAGGACTTGTGGATTGGGAAGCGTTGGATGTAGAGAGCAAGCATTTTGATGCATCGCAGTTCTCAATGATAAGATGGAGCCTCCCAATGCATCACCTGCTAGGAAACGGCTTACTATCCTCCTTTGCAATAGTATGGGTTGGACACCACTCCCTCCCAAACAGTCTTGCAGGATCATTTCTCATTGTTCACATTGATTCAATAGGCCCAATGGGAATTATCAATTATCTGGTGTCTCATAGAGGATGTAGTTTTTATATTGCCTAGAAAACAAAGTAAAGTCTCCCTTTGAATCCTCATCCAAAAAGCCTTTCAAGCATCAAAATTCTCCATTATGACTCAAATCAATTTTCAACACCGATCATGAATTCTTAAGCTCAAAAAAAAGTATAGATCTTGAAGTTCTATGAAAACTTATCTTTAAGGCAAAATGGTGTCTAGATATTGTGTTGTAATATACGTTATTTTAATGGCTTGAAATCCTTTTTTTTTTCATGGCCATAATGTTCAAGGTCGAGGTCACTGACATGAAAGTTTTCCTATATTAGGACGGTAATTTTTTGTGAGTTTTGAGTTGAGGTTTTACTCATTTCGATAGGGCTGCAGCCCTATGAAAACATTGTCCTTCATTCATTAAATTTTGCAATCAATGTTAGCCCGAGCCTTGACTCGCCCGAATCAAACCCTATAACATCTATGCTTGAGATATTACTACAAAATTGGAAAAAAAAATTGAAAAACAAGAAAAATTGAGATTAATTTTAAAGATGAAATGTTTCTCAAAAAAAGATGTTTATTGGCACCAAAACATCGTAGGGTATCGAAAAAAACACCAAAAAGTTTCAAGCCAAAAATATTATTTTAAAGCCACTAGCCAAACAAATGATCATAGGGTTACTGAAGAGGGTTGAATCAGATCTTATGAAACCAATGTTCAGCAGATTTTGGGAAAAAAAACGAGGGAGAACTTGCTAGAATGGTGGATAGATTAGAATTTGTTCCAAAAAACTATTTCTTCATTGGAATTGAGGATTTTTGGGCCAGATCTCACTATCTTTGGTCTTTTATCAAACAAATAAAACTAGGGATCTTGTAGATGGCTGAAACACTAACGAATTGCAATAGATTTTAATGGATTTGAATGAAAAATGCGAGAGAAATCCCTGCTTAGGCGGATTTGTTTAAAATGTAGCTATATTTACAATAAATCTGTAAAGTCCTAGGTTTTGTTCCAAATAGATCGACGATAGATGGAGTTGGATGAAAAAAAAGAAATAATACAGGCTAATAAGTGAAAAAATGAGAATGAGGCTGGGGTCGTGGTGGTAGCATCACTTGTGCCCCAACTAAGATCTCGACTTCCATTATCACCTAACCCATTAAAAAACCACTTACTATTTCAAAAACAGGTAAATACTCGTCATCACTATTTCAAAAACAGGTAAATACTCGTCATCACTATTTCAAAAACAGGTAAATACCAACGGTGTGCACCATATTATGTACACCTGACTCGGGCTTAACTCGCCTGGCCCACATCGCGAGGCTAAATAAGTCAGCCGAATGCTGCTCGTTATAATGGGACTTACATGCACACAATGCATCTCCACCCTCAATTTGTGGATGGCAAAAAGATGGTGTGAGGTAGGTGGGCCAGCCTTTCTGTGACACCAGCTCTCCATTTTTAAGGGGTTTAAAATCATAATTGGATCGATGCACTCTGTACGATTCAGAGCTTTCGACTGATGTACAAATACAAAAGGAAATATTTTTTGAAAAACTAGGAGAAATAGGCTATTCAAGGGTTCGCTATATAGGGGTGGCAATGGGCTGGGTCGGCCCAGCCCGATCTGCCCCGCCCTAAGAAACTAGTGCTTGGGCGATGTGGCCCAAGTATAGGCCGGGCCGGGCCAAGTCGGGTCATGGCTGGCCCAGCTCGGCCCTCTTTTTTGTCTCTTTTTTTTCTTTTCTTTTTTTGTTTATCTCAACCCGGCCTTGATAGGGTAAGGCCTGGCCAGGGCTAGGTCTTCTTTGGCTCGATCAAAGCTAGGTTTGGTTAGGGTGGACCCTATAGGGACTAGGGATGGCCTAGGGCTAGGGCTAGCCCGTTGCTAGCCCTAGGATTAGCTAGATTAAGATTACGGTTAGAGCCGAGCCATTCTTGTTTGTGGCAACAACAACGGTTTGTTTATTTAACCCAGAGATGACCAGGACACATGTGAATCACCATGAAACATGCACATCTTATATAATTATTAAAATGAAGAACTAAGTTGCACCTCAAAAATCTACCGAAAAAGGCTGTTTTGATATTAGAAAACTCTGCAATTGATCATCTCGGCATCTCTCGACATCTAGATGTATGAATATATAAAAAAAAGATTTATAGTCTAAAAAATAGTGCATCTTGCAACACACTATCTGGACCGTATGTTTTCAAGATTTTCATATGTTTATAGATCGACTTGATTTGAAGTACTTTTTAAATTTAAAAAATTATAATTAGAGATTAAAATAGATTACCAGCTGTCATAATAAGTTTTTGCACGAAAATTATATCTAATAATAAAAAATGGAAGTTCTCGGATTGCAAACTTATACAAAACACACCCATTGCAAAAATGTGGCATTAGAATGAACCACGTCTTTGTATCTCCTCTCACATTTACCCTCGTGGCCTAAATACATATACCTAATAAAATAATACGCCATGCTTTGTCCATTAAGTAATATATAAGAAGGGTGGGGTTAGTTTGAAGGGACCCCATGGTCTCGTCGTTTCCAAGCACAAAATGCAATCAAAATGGTGCGCCCCCCAATTCTCTCGGATTGTTTCCCTCAACTTTATTTTCTCTTACCCTTTTCCCCTCTTTTATATTTGCTTCAAATTCTTAGAGGGTCCACCTTCACTCATTTCCACTAAAAATGAATTCTAAATGTCTTGCCATCATT